GATAGAGTTTCACTCGAAATGCTAAGGGCTGGAGAGGAAGTGGTGGCAGGCCTGCTGCACACCTTGTTTAATTTATGCTGGGAACTGAAGCGGGTACCGGTAGACTGGTGCAAAGCCGTGATAGTCCCAGTATATAAAGGAAAAGGGTCGTAGCAGGACTGTAAAAACTACCGTGGCATCAGCCTTCTTAGCATTGTGGGAAAACTGTATGCTAAGGTACTGATTGAAAGCGTCATGAAAGAAACTGATGGAAAAATTTGGGATGTGCAAGCGGGATTTAGAAGGGGAATGGGATGTACAGATCAAGTCTTTTCCATGCGCATGATCGCGGAGAAGTTTTTGGCCAAAAACCAAAAGGTTTTTTGTGCGTTCATGGACTTGGAAAAGGCCTATGACAGAGTGGATAGGGATGTGCTATGGCAAACACTGAACTCATTTGGGTTGAGCGCTGGCTTGATACAGGCATTGGAGTCCCTTTATAGGAATTCTAGTGCTTGTGTTAGGATCAACCGGGTCTACTTGGACTGGTTTGACATCCATAAATGTGTCAGACAGGGCTGTGTGGCTTCACCGTGGCTGTTCAACCTATTTATGGACAGTTGTTTGCAAAATTTGAAAGTTGAAGAATGCGGATTAAGAATGGGTGAGTTAACCATCAAATGCCTTTTGTACGCCGATGATCAAGTTATCCTTGCGTCGTCGGCGGCCGAGTTGCAAATGATGGTTACATTAATGAACATATCATTAAAAGAAAGGGATATGAAAGTGAACGCAAGTAAGACGAAGGTTATGGTTTTTGAAAGAGAAGAAAGTAAAACGATTTGTGAAATAAGAATAGAAGGGGAGTTGATCGAGCAAGTAGATGAGTTTGTATATTTGGGCTGCGTATTTAGCAGGGATGGGAGATATGATAAGGATATAGAACGACGAGTGAATGCGGAAAATAGAGTTAATGGGGCCCTGCACTCTATTGTGAAGAGTCAAAATTTGTCGAAAAAGGCACGTATGGCAATTCACAATGCTGTGTTGGTCCCTACATTAACGTATGGTAGTGAAAGTTGGGTGTGGCAGAAGAAGCACGAGAGTAGAATGAACGCAGTAGAAATGCGGTCGTTAAGGAGTATGTTAGGGCTGAATCTGAATGACAGGGTAAGAAATTGTGTAATAAGAGAAGAGTGTGGTTTGCAAGATGATGTTGTGACCAGGATTAAGAAAGGAATGCTTCGGTGGTTTGGTCATGTGGAAAGAATGAATGAGGAAAGAGTGATAAAGAAAATTTATGTTGCAGAAGTGAATGGCAGTCAGAAAGGGACGTCCTAGGCGAAAATGTATCGGCCAAATTGGCGATTTATTGAAAACGTGCCAAATTAGGAGTTCCCTTAACCGACGAGCATGTATGTGTAGGTGTATGGATGTGAAGGAGGCGAGAGAGGCGTGTCAGGATCGTGCCAAATGGAAGTCTGTAGTCTCTGCCTACCCCTCTGGGTGACAGGCGTGAGTGTTTATGTTTTATGTTAAAAAAATATTTAATTAATTGTTGTTTTCTGATAATTAATCGATATAATTAAATGTGTAAAAATAAATAGTGTAAAACTTCCTAAAATAACATATATACAATGTTTGATTATTATAGTTCTTTGTTTTATTTCTGTTCAAAATCATTATTTATTCCATAATTATGTACGTATATATTTAAATGATGATAAAAAACATCGAAAAAATTGAAATACGTACGGTGCTTTGATGTTTTTAATGAGCGATATTGCATCCTACGGATATGAATACTTGGAAAAATTACGGATTAACTCAAGTTCAAATTCACACAACTCGAATTAAACTCGAGTTACGCAACCAGACTTAGCAGGACGAAACAAAGTAAATGATTTGTTACAATTACTTTAAAAATATCGATTCAATAAATATACTCCTTTCACTTGTCCATCCTTATGACTGAGTAAGGGCGTAAAATCAGGGTATTGTCCGTTCATCGTAACTTGATGCGTGATCCGATCCGCACACTGTAATTTACAGTGTTGCATGTTTCAATGTGAATAGCTTTCCCGAAATGTAGGGAAAGGATTTATGGATATGGATATGGTGCTGATGAATATGTATTTTTATGTGACATTTTAAGTGTCATAGTGTACTCTCTGAAATAACTCATATATCAATAGGAGCATTCGGGATACATTTATCAAGAGAGGGTTAAAAAGAATTATTTTATATAATTATGATCAATAAGGTGTAAAGGAATCGTATCTTCTTCAGTAGTGTAATAACTGACGTCCCTAACTACGGGCCACGCCCGTCCTTCATTCAGGGCCCCGATTCAAGGTGGTGTAATAGGGTCATTATTAGTTTGTGGACAGGAAACAGGATATATCGCTTATCCATAGATTAATAAATATATAACTTTGAGTATTCAACCATTGGTTTATTCGTAGACAGAGAAACCAATAGACTAATGATTAGCGTGGCTTCGAGTGATAAAGGACGATAACGTAGTTTTAGGTTATAAAATAATCTTTATGACTTTTAAACACATTTAGATAAAAAATTAAATGTTCTAAGAGAACTGAACAAGATTCACCTTAAGCTCACAAAACACTTTTTTCTCACTTAAACCAACTTGTTAACTCCTTAGATCGCTACGAACTGTCAAAGCTGTTTAGCAAAGTGTAGTTTGCTAAACAAAAAAACCGGCACGGAGAAAGGGACAAACAATCACACCGCTCTGTCTCATTTCTATGCGACGTATGCATAAATCTATGTTTATCGTGTGCGAATGCGAAAGAAGGCGTCAATTTGTCTATAGATTTCTCTGTCTACGGTTTTAATACTCAAAGATATGTAGCAAGCATGAAGTTATAGATAAAGATGGAGACCACACTCCGAATACCTACTTGAAGCTTAACCTAAGTATTACTATCTCGCCCTCTGTGGGCAGAGCCTCTCTTTCTAAGGAGGTAACCTTTATTTTATTTTTCCCAGGATATCGCTGTAAGTAGTTGTATTACATTAAGTGGTTTATTTTAAATATCTACATCTCTGTTTACTACTACTCGTAAGATCTAGCCTATATGGATAATATATTTCTGTACAATTTTTGGGAATTGACTGGTTTTATGAAGAAAGGTTTTCATTTCCATGGGCAGAACCGGTATTTAAAATATGACCACGAATTTCCGTTACAACCCATGTAATGCCGAGCCTATTTAGAAAATGTGGAAAATAAATATATCAGAGAATATTTTATAACTACCATTTCGATAATGTATTTTCTAGTTGTTGTATCCAATCCTAAACGGTACCAACGAAATATAAAATTAAAATTTATTATAACACCCCGGGTGTTCCATGAATTGGGCAAAATATACCTGATTTATTGTTCAGACAGACTGAATCTATTTTTGGACAATTATTTAAAAAAAATATCACGAAGACTAAAAGAGCTTAGCGGAGCTCCTGCCTTAGACTTCTGACCTTACCCATCAGAGTCAGGCTGCTCTGAGCTGAAATGTGTATAATACTATATTATTCCACACATCCTGTTCGTTTTAAGAATTATCTACAATTCCTAGGAATGCTATATAATGACGGATTTCATAAATATTTAGTAACATATGTACTATAATAGGAACGGTAATATATAAAAAACCTCAAAAAAATAAATGAAAACATTTTCCATATTAAAATCATTTATTGAAAATTGTCTATTATACATGACTAAATATCATTGCTCTGTGTAGTTTCTGTCTCTTACCAGGTTGCCGATTTGTGGGGAATTCCCCTAACTGCGGGGAATCTCAAGTTGATTGGGGATTTATTGGGGATTGGCATTATGCGGGGATTTTAACATCTTCGTTAATATACTTTTTCGAAAATACCAAATACTTTAATATTTTTTTTTTTAATTTAGGTACTTATGGATAACGGAGGACTCAATACTCTTTATTGCACTTATCTTTTTGAGTATGAATGAGAAGAAAACATCGCTTAAAAGACAAGTATCCAAGCCAAAAATCTTAATATTTTTTCTGATCTATGGTTGCAATAAACCAAATTGAATGAAAGCTAGAAATATCGGAAAGTATACCGACACTATGATTAGGGGATTCCCTTTCTTTTGACGTTTTGTGAAATAGTGAATTTCTTAACATTATAATATTATAATACGTATTTTGTCGAGCCGTAACGATACTATCTTATACAAATATGGATAAATGGTTAATGAAAGGCCAAAACAAAGAAGATAATCCTAAGGTAAGGTAATTTATGGCCTTTTTATTTATTTGTGCGCGATCATGAAACATTAGCAGGTTACCGTCTGTCAGAAACTCAGTGATTATAACTATCCTAATTTTTGGTTTTTAGCTTGAACGTAAAAGGAAACATCAGAGGCCTCAACTTCTAGTATAGAAGTAGAATATGCTGTTCCCATTCCCAGTTCCAGTTTGACTTCAGTGGGCTTGGCAACAAGTGAGTCAAATAATCCACAAACTAAAAAAATAAAACGCCTGAATAAATTTAATGATTTATGGCTTCAAGAACCAAACTTCTTGAGCTGGCTATATGCAAAGATTCGAAAATGAAAGATGGAAATGATTTAGCACACTGTATGCTTTGTTCGGTGTCGATCATAGCGCATAAAAGTGATCTGATTCTACATATGAATTCAGATCGCCATAAGAAAAAATCATTAGAAATACAGAATATTCCAAAAATTTCAAATTATCTGCCAGTGATGGATTTAGAAATAAATGTACGAAAAGCTGAACTAAAATTAGCCGGAGCGTTGGCTGAAAATAATATACCAATATCATTTAGCGACATCTTGGGCCCACTCTGCAAAGAGATTTTCGCAGACTCAGTTATAGCTAAAAATATGAATTTACACAGAACCAAGGCGACGGCTATAATAAATAATGTTTTAGGAAACACATTTTTAGAGGATATATATGAAAAATTACGCGGAGAAAAAAATCTTCTTTTCATTAATAATGGATGAAACGACTGATCAGAGCTCTTTAAAACAATGCTGTTTTACTGCTGTTGTCTATGATGAGAACACCAATAAGGTAGAGCATTTGTTTCTGGATATGGTGGAATTGTCATCAGGAACTGCTAAGGGACTGTATGACTGTTTACATCAAATGCTTCGAAATAAAAACATATCGATAGAAAACATGGTAGGGTTTAGTTCAGATACCACAAACGTGATGGTTGGAGAACATTGCTCTGTTTTTGCTCTTCTTAAAAAAGATTTGCCTCACATTGCTCTGGTGAAATGTTCTTGTCACATGATACACCTATCATCATCTAAAGCTTGTCTTAAATTGCCTCGAAACGTTGAAGATTTTTTGCGTTCTGTTGGAGCTCACTTCAGTAGAAGTTCACAAAGACAACTAAAATTTAGAGAGTTTCAAGAATTCTTTCAAGTGGAGATTCACAAAATTCTCACACCAGCTCAAACTCGATGGCTCTCGCTGAAAGCGTGTATAGACCGTGTCTTAAAGCAGTATACTCCATTAAAAGCCTACTTGACAGAAACAGTCTTCTCAGATCCGTCGAAGACTACCGAAGAAATGCTGATTACAATGAACAACCAATTCACTGTGGTATATTTGGAGTTCATGTCTTACGTACTTGCACTGGTAACAAAATTCAATGTCTTGTTTCAATCAGAAACTTCCCTTCTTTACAAATTGAAACCAGAAGTCGAAAACCTTTTGAAAACGTTGTCTTCTAATTTCATGAAAATTAGCTATATCAAGTCCTGTGCTAATATTTTAAACGCAGACTTCAAAAACCCAACACATTTTCTAAGTTTAAACGAAATATATATTGGATTAAAGGCTGGAGAAAGTATTGAAATTTTAAAAAATGACGAAAATGTACCTCGTGCTGCTATTGCAGATTTCTATAGAACCTGCCAGGAGTTTTATATTGAATTGACGTCAGATATTACCAAGCGATTTGATTTTGGGGATCCTCTATTTTCTATTATATCCGCTGTAAATCCATCAGAAGCTCAACAGTTTCTAATTAAATCACTTGTGCCTGTGCTGAAGCGATTTCCAGTGCTTTATAAATTTGTGACCGCACAAAAATTAGATGACGAGTGGCGAACTCACGCTTTGTTAGATTTTGAGCAACATGGGCTTGAAATTCATGGAGATAACATCAATGCCGAAAGTTACTGGGGTAAAGTATTTCGCCTTAAAAATGCTGCGGGAGAATACATGTTTCCAAACATAAAAATTGTTATGTCTTTGTTGCTCATATTGCCATTTTCAAACGCGTCGGTCGAAAGAAAATTTAGGGCGCTTCGATGTTTAAAAACAGAAAATCGCAATCGGCTAAATACAGGTACTGTAGTGTCTTTAATGGCAACAAGAGAGGGTATAAAAAAATTGGGCGGCAGTGCCAAGTTTAATCCTTCCAACAAAATGCTTGCATCAAACGTATGGAAAAAGTGCAACAAAGGTTAAAAAATAAATATTATTTAAACAGGTTAAACTTGTTTCATTGTTTAAAATAATATTGAGGGGAATTTGTGGGGAATCAGCAGATTTTTGTCCCCAAATTTGGGGAATTTCATATGGAATTTTGGGGAATTACATATATTGGCATTAGCAACCCTGGTCTCTTACCACGTAAATCACTAAGTATATTTCATAGATTACTGACTATATTTTCTGTATGACTCTTTAAGTGAGCACGTATACGCATTTAAAAAATGAATTAGCTATTTTCTTAACTATAATAGTTTCATGCAAATCATTACAATTAATTGAGTTCGTGATCGGATGGTTAAACATTTCCTGCAACAGAGGAGTAAAATGTTGTGACACGACATTAATTAATTTGTTTTCAATGTTATTGGCTCTAAGTTGGCCCATCAAATTAGCTCGTTGGCAAACTTGGTCACAATATTTTACAATTTTGTAAGCTGCTACCGAAGGAAAATAAAGTTTGCCTCGGTTCACAAACGTCGTAAATGAATTAAATTTATTTACAATCATATGATTGAATAATCTGTTGACACATAGTTAAGTGCTACTAACGCATTATTACAATGTTCACAAGAAATGCGGGTAAGAATTTGTTTTATAATGTAACCAGTTATATAATATAATATATTTTCCTGGTATGGACTAGCATGAATCTTTTCTAAATTTTGAAACATATTTTCATTGTCTTGTTGATATTCAGGTTCTTCGCGAGAATGAAACAAACTTTTCTGTTTATTGAAATCGAAGACGTGTGTTGTCTCAAAGCCATTTTCTATGCAGTTGGCATTGACGGATGGTTGAATGGAATGTCTAAACAACATCTTTCTAAGTATGTAGCGGAACTCGAGAGGGCTCGGGTTATCTTGTGCCCGACCGCGAGCCCTAATGCAGGAAAAAAAAGTTCCAAGTTGTCCTGCGAACATTTAAAAGTCAACAAATATTTAATTGGAATTTGCTCTAGTGTACACAAATCATTAACAGGTAACGATAAACTATTTATGTTCATTAAAAACCCTAATTAAAACGTTTTTCTGGGATGATTTAAAATACCTTTACCATTTATTGTTAACGATTTTAAAAACATTCCAGTATCATTAAATATTGGTTCCCAATAACGTTTGTTTTTTAACGAAAATAGAGACTTTGAACCCTTTCCAAATGGTGACTTTGAATTCATGAGATCAAAAAGTCTATCTATCATGTGCAAGAACTCTATAGTCGCTTCGCTATTTAGAAAGTCAGGATGACCACTAATCCTCAAAAATCTATTGCATCAGCAACAGATGAACTAAGTACTTGCGCAGCAAGCCTAACATTCATTTTTTTGTTTTTAAAATCTACATGTAAAGCGCTTAACTCTTTGCTTCATAGTGATCAGTAGAGATATCCACCTATTTATTCGCTTGTTTTACGTTATAGTGACATATATTGCTTTCAATTTGAATGAATATGTACGATATAAATGTAAAACATTTGAACAGCGTTAATGGTCAGTGCTTTGACAGATGGACGGATAAGTAAACTTTGAAACGAAAGTTGGTGAAATTTGAATTCATTGTGTGTGTCGCAACTGTTTTATTTAATTGGTAAGTAATTATTTCGTCCGTGAACTTCTGATACCTCCTAACTCGCATTTTTTTCGCAAAACCTTTTTTTAACGCCATCGTTTGACAGAGATCAGAACCAATAGAATGCATTAACCTCCTAAATAAAATACTTGTTTTTTTGGTCACAAACCGTTCGGAGAAATACCTTCTAAATTTTGCCGCCCTATTTTTGCTGGAAATTTCTCCTAACAGTTTGCTCGAAGCGCGTACACGGCTATTTAGTATTCTGGCGTTTGGCATTTAAAAGTATGTTTTTGGTATTTTTATCACTTCGTTGGTATTTACATTAGTGTCATAGCTAACTGAAGGTGTTTCACTGATTTTGTTTCATAAAGTAGGTACGTATATTATTATTAGCTATGATTTATTTCAGGTTAAAGTTTTTTTGTCAGATAGGAGTAATTTCTTTGAACACTTTTTACTTCAATTTGGTAAGTTATGTTTTCAATTAATGCAGTTAGAAGAAATTTCTTAAAAGTTTAGCACTTACTTTTACCTTCTTAAATATCTAAGATCTTTTAACCTGTCTGAGGAGTACGATCATAAATTATTTGGTATTTTGTGTAGTTAAAAGATAACTTATTTATTTCAGATTTTGTCATAATGGCATCAAGAAACAGAGCACATGCACTCGTTAATATAATTTGAAATCCAACTGAACCAGAGAATATGGCATCCACGTCTCATACACCTGTTTCTGTTTTGGTAAAGAATGTCCTAACAGAACCACATTCTTTTGAAAGGATTGAATCTCAGTTAGGGGAAATTTTACTAACTGCAGACAATGACCTCATTCAATTAGAAGACCTAGTGGCGCTTGACTCACCGTCGCTATTAGAAACACCGTCTCCGAGGCCAACTTCACCACCACCTGTGAGAGATGCTTGTGAGGACTTTTCGCCTGATGACGACAGCGATTACGAACCACCCAATGATCGTGGTGCTTTAAGTTCGGATTCAGAAAATATCCCTCCAAATGAAGAGACTCTGCAAACGAACGAAGAGGTAGTTCACTTTGGAGATATGTTTGAAGGCCGACGTAGACAGAGACTAGCTCAACCCGAAACTTGGAAGAAAAGTATTACTAAACGGTTAAGGATGGAGGGGAAAGAGTATGTCGGTTACAAAAGACCAAAGGGTGAGAAAGTACAAAGCCAAATTCGAAACCAAAGGGTCCTTGGCCCTAAATGCAATTCAGATTTTTGTAGAAATAGTAAGTTGAGATGTTGATAAATTCAATCAAACTATCAAATCGAAGAATATAGCTATCCACACAATAAAGAAGGACATGTGTGATGTTTGTGTAGGTCATCAGAGCGGTAATATAAGCGAAATTGACAACCAAACACATCTAAGAAGAAAAAATCGAGCCCGTGAAGAAAAATCTATGGATAAAAGTGAGGCGATCAAGGGAAACTGCATAGTTTTAACAATGGATTTACAATCGGTTAAAATGTGTCCGTTTATCACAGCTAGTGCTGTTTACTATAAAACAAAATTATGTGTACATAATTTTACCATCTATGATTTAGCATCTCATGAGTGTACATGTTACTGGTTTACAGAAACGGAACGTGATCTATCAGCGTCTACCTATGCGTCATTTATTATTGATTATTTGACCCGCCATAGCCTTCCCAAACATCTACCCATAATAATATACTCAGATGGCTGCACAAGCCAGAACCGAAACAATATATTATCGAATGCTTTAATAAATTTCTCCATGCAACATCAAGTGGCTATAATACAAAAAATATCTTGAAGTCGGACACACGCAGATGGAAGGAGATTGTGTACATAGCGCTATAGAAAGGAAATTGGAAAATAGGTTAATCCACTTACCAAGTGATTACCTGTCGGCTACCAAAGAAGCTCGCAAAAATCCTTGTGAGTACGAAACTGTGATGGTAGACTATACATTTTTGAAAAACTATTCGGCTCCTGAAACATGGCGCTACACTTCGATCCGACCGGGACGCAAAGCTGGAGATCCAAAAGTTACTGATATAAGGGCTATTTTTTATGACAACACAGGCCTGATTAAGTTTAAATTGGACTTTGACTCCGATTGGGATAGCCTCCCTCAAAGGGTTAATAAAATTGCCATCATAAGAGAGTACGCATCCCTGCATAGGAATAGAATACCTATCACATACCAAAAATATAAACATTTACAGGAGCTAAAGTCTGTTATCCTATTGGACTGTCATTCCTTTTACGACAGTTTACCTCATAATGAACATTAACATTCCTAATGTTACCTTAGTATTAGAAATATGATTTAACATGCTGGATAAATGATGCGAATTACTTGCTAAGATTATTTTAAGTTTTATAAAAACCTCAAAGATTTGAAATAATTTTAAGAATGTTAATTAATTTTTAAAGCAACCTTTTTCAAGACTGTTTAAGTTTAAGTTTTGTTTCTCATATTTTTATTAATGTCTGATTGTGATTTTGTAACATTTCCCTTTAGCAACATAAATAAATATTATATTTCTGTATTTTATTGTTCTTCCTTAACACACTTTGGGGGTTGATTACTCCTAAGTAACTAAAGGAAATATCTCCTATCTGACTTTGGTATTGAATTCGAAAACTTAAAACTCCTAACTAACATAAAACAAAAAAAAAACAACAGCACTAACTTTATTTAATTTTTAATTATAATTAATAAAATGACATAAAAACCGACCAACTACTTTTTTGTTTTATAAAAAAACATCGTGAAAAGGAAATAAATCAGTTTTATGGCCCTACTGTAAAATTTGTTTGTAGGTAGATAGGAGATCTCAGAAGTTCACGGACGATTTACAGATATGAATTATTTATATTCTCTTTTTGTTGAAATATTCTTAATTACGTATAACAAATATAAATATAATAGGCAAACTAGTAGGTTTTTGATAATAACGCGTAATTTAAGGTGCTTAGCAATGGTAACCACCGTACTATAAAGATAAAAAAAATTTCAAAAGTAGATACAAATTGTATTGGTTTTATTTTTACAGAAAATGGAAAGAAGACGCTTATTTTACTGGGAAATTGAGAATGCCTTATCGGAATATGTTGATATACCTTCCGATGATGGCAGTTATGCCGGTTGCGATAGTTCGGATATCGTAGATGAGGTCATCATTGAAGGACAGAATAAGACGATGAGAAATTTTTATCGAAGAAGACTTCCAAGGTACAGACCTACGTAATGAGGAATTTGACTGCGGAGATGACACAGGAATTTGACTGCGGAGATGACACACCTCTAGCCAGATTATCTTTTTATCAGCCTTTAGTTCCATCATCATCACCAGAACCACCTACTGCTCAGGTTGAACTACAGGCTCCAAAATGAAAAAAATCCTACTAAATTCTACCTGCTGGTGATTTTGTCTCCTCACATTACACACCTACTAACTTGTCATCTCTAGTTGCTCACAGAGAACTATCTCCACTAAAGATTTTTCGATTATTCTGGACAAAAGAGCTTGTTCAATATATTACATTTCATACTAACTAATATGCAGAACAAAAAAGATGACTTTGTGAGCCTGTCACAGAAGAAGAAATAAGTTTTTATTTCTCTTAATTTAGGGATAGGAATAAAAAAGAGCCCAAGTTACCAAGATTACTGGTCTTCTTCAATCGACTTACGAGACAAGTACATATCATCACTGACAAAATTTTCCTGGATTCTAGGGAACTTACATATGACTGATAAAATCTTGATTCCTAGTAGGGATTCTATGACAAATTGTACAAAATCAGACCGTTTATTGATAAAATTAGAGACTCATTCATAAAAGAACTATTACCCTACGAAAAATATTGCAAAAGATGAGTCAATGCTGAAATTCAAAGGAAGGAGTAAGCTTAGGCAGTATATGCCCAAAAAACCAACGAAACGAGGATACAAGATTTGGACAAAGGGTGCATATGTTGGCTATTGTCTTCACTTTGAAATATATACTAGAAAAGTTGAGAATATAATGGAGAAAGATTTAGGAGGCCAAGTTGTTAGGAAGTTTTGTGTAGGCCTAGAAGACCAGTCGACGGAAGAGACTTGCTTTGAAGATCATTATTAACAGTAATTTTATCTTTTATTGAGTAGTGCTAACAAATTTCATAATTTTTATGGACGTAAGAAGCAATTATTGTTCCTAAATGTGTAAAACATAATTGTTTGATAATAAAAATAATAGTCTTTATTTAGCCATTTTCCTCACAGTGGTCACCCACGATAACCATCCTGTATATAACCCCACTACCAATCTACATATTATGAAAAACCAACTAAACTACTTATAACTATCCTTATCTTATTTGATATAAACAAAAATATTTGATTTTCTCTGAAAATTAAAATCTGTGCCACAAAGAGTTAATTTATTAGCAAATTTTAACCCTTCCTTGCTTTGTATTTCGTGTAATTTTCGGATATATTTAAACGAAATGAAGCCGGTATTTGACATAATTTCAAAATCGGCCAAAACATTTCTAGCGAGTTTTAACATATGTGCAGCGTCAAGCAGACAATATATATTGCTCTTTCCGTTTGGATGTCGAAAGTATGGTCTTAAATTATTTTATTCGAGAGAGCAGCCTAAATATTCATAAACCTTTACATTGGATGATGCACCATCACAAGTCAAAGATCTTACGGTGACACCAATTTCGTCAAGTAGAAATATAGTGGTTTTTATTAATTCGGAAAGCAGTTCCCCAGACAAGTTATTTGCAATAAAAAATATGCAATTGGACACTTAAACGTACACCGTAAGACACTATTTGAAACACGAGGGCTTCGGAAGCTAATTTTTCTGGATCACTTACAGGAATTGGTCCTAAATCTACATACCCAACCACTTTGTCTAATTTTTGATCATATGCCAAATTTTGTTTTAATGCCATTCCATCAAATATTAAAGCAACATTTTTTAAATATATTTTTTTAGGTGTTTTAACTTGTCTTTTAAATATTCCAGTACTTCAAAGAGGAAACCAACATTACAGTTAAATAAAGATAAATATCTTCGTAGTTTCTACATGAGGTAAAGTTATATATTTTCTTAAGAACAACTAAGCCTTAGGTGAATAGAAACTCAAAGTTAAAGCAAAAGCTTTCACTTCTTCACTATAACAAACACCATGTGGATTACTCTGTGGCTTTTTGAAATCCTTACAGATATCAGCAAAGTGCCCTTGAATAATATTTTCAATTTCTGACTGACCCGTATACTTTTTAATAGTTGCAATTAAAGAAGACATATCCTGAATTTTTTTAGTTGCCCCGCGCCACTTTTTGCTTAAGAATCTTAGTTTTCTTCTCAAGTATTTCTTCTTTACTAGACTTTATTTTCACTTGCACGCCCCTATCTATCTTCGCGGGATCGTCGTCTTCACTGCTGACCTAAGAAAACAAGAAAACTTTGTGAAATCGGTAATTTTAGCATCGAATTGCTCCGCTCATAAGGTGTTAGATAATCTTCCTGAGGAATTGGTTTTAAAAATGCAAAAAAATATTTTCAAATCTGACTGGTATAGTTCCGGAGATTAGAGAACTCAAACAAACAAAAAAAGATTCAAATAACTTCTACATCATAATGTCAGTACAAATTTACATCACGTAATAGGTTATTAGACCATTAATAGACAGAAAGGATACTCCGGAGCGCGCCTTCATGAGCACGCATAAATGAAGCATCAAACAAGAAGCTTCATGCTTAGTGTCGTAGTGACGGTTACCACACTGCGATTGGCACTAAAGAGTTTAAATATGTATGTGTTTTAAGCTATATAATATATTATGTAATGTAATATTAAAGTCATAATAAATACAAATAAAAGGTATGTATTTAGTAATAAAGGAAAAGGAAACTTACAGGTAACTTGTTAAGATTGCATACATTTTCAAGAATTTTTCGACATTGTTTTTTACTAGTTTGGTCTTCAATATTACAGGCAGTATGTTTCACTCCTGTTTCCTTAAGTGCAGAACTACTTTCATAAATGTCAGAACTAGTGCTTGGTACAGCCAGAGCAGCTATTTGCACAATAGACTCTTCATGTAATGCACTTGTTGTCTGCAAATGATAACATATTTTACAAAATGTTGCTTAATGTCATACATTTAAACTACTACATTTCTAAATATATAATATATTACGAAAAATTAGATAATTAAATTATATTAAATTTTTACCTTGCCTGGTGATACTGTTTCTTGATTTATAACAGTAGGAACTGCTGTTGGTTTTAAGAGCCTTGTTGTTGAATCTAAATCTGATTCTTGAAAATGCAAATTGCAAATCCTTGTACTTTCATAATACTTCATTTTCAATGGTACAATGGATAACCACAAATTTCTCCGAGTACTATTTTTAGGAAATCTAAAAAAACATATTCGTAATTATTGTAAACGTTACTAAAGTATCAGAATAATGAGAAACAAAAACTAAATAAAAAGTAAATTGTCTGCCTAAAAAAACTAAATAAAAAGAATATATTATTATGTTACTAATTAATAATTTAATATTATGAAATCTATGAAATCCGTCATTATATAGAATACATAGGAATTGTATATAAGTCCTAAATTTCATGCATTTCCGGTAACATAATAAGAAACATGTACATATTATAATTTGTTAAGGACACGGAAAGTCTCAGATACATCCTTAATATGGTCACACTACAACAGTGCGATTTCTTTTAAACAAAAACAATAAAATTGTTCAAAGTCAATTAAATTCAATGTAAAATATTTGATTTTGATAAACTTATGATTTACTAATATGTTTAAAACACTGGTAAAACGTTTCAGCAAAAAATTAAGTTAAAGTATAAAGAAGTATGTTTACAAGTATTCAATGTCAGAAGTCACTATACCTGTTAACCAAGCCTAGCTCACATTAGATCGCGCAATACCAACCTTACGCCCGCCAAGTAGTGATCGAATTAGATCAGAATTATGTAAACATGTCTACCTATGAACATTGAGTTACAATACCTATAGAGTCACAAACAGACAAATAAAATGTCCGCGCCAAAACTCGGCGCACGCTGCGAAGTGCGCAGAGTTTTTGTTTAGTTGTAAGGCGACCACAATCCTCGTACAACGTCCGCGATGCCAAAGTGTTCGGTGATTTCCTGCCCAAATAACAGCAGACACGTGCGAAAAAAGGATGGTGTTTCATATTTTAGGTAAGTATCATACCAAATTTACGTATTTATGTATCCACAGTGCATGTTTTCATTTAAATTTCAATAATTTTCATTTTATTAGCAAACTAAAACACTCACCGCCGACCGCGCGGCGCCGCGATAACGTTTCTCTTTCACACGTTAGACAAATATGCAAGAGTAAAAGAGAAACAAATAGTCACGCGTACGAGAGTGACTCGCAAATTATGTTCTAACGGTTCTATGGAGTGGATTGATACAATAAATATTTTTACAGATTTTAAACTTAATGTACTAATATTACAATGTTGTTAAATGTTTTATTTTTTAGTTTTCCGTACAAAATGTAGGTCGAAAGAGTTTTATTATTTTAAAGTATAATTACAATATGTTTTTTTTTTGTTTTTAGTTTTCCTCGAAACCCCATAAGATGCTCTGAATGGACAGTTATTATAGCAAAAGCCCGAAATGAATTAAACTACAAGCCATATAAAGGGTCGGTTGTATGCTCTAATCACTTTCCTGCTTCAGACATTTATACAACAACGAAAGGTTTCAGTAGGCTTAACAAAAATGCAAAACCCATTTTACATGTAAGAACTTATTCCTTTTTAATGCTTACAATGTAATATTTTATTATAACTTTCGATTTTGTATTCTTAAAATGCGTGCATTATTCAAAAATTGCTTATTTTACGTCTTGCAGATAAATGTATGATCTATGATTTCTATTACAGCTGAATAAAAAACAACTTAGAAGTTACTATATTTGAGATCAAGACAACACTCACGTAAACTTAGATCACGACAACAATCAGCAAACAATTAAACAAAATGAAGATAGCATTGAATTGTCTTTTGATGTAAGTTAAAAATAAATAATTGCCGTAAATAAAGTACGTATAATAAAATATAAAGGCAAAATTAATTCCTATTTATTTATTCCAGATTGATAATGAATTTGGGAACGATGAAGAAATATGCCAACAAACTAACGTTGTATGCTTGCAGGTAGTGAATTTACGTC